GTGGAACGGTGCTGGAGGATTCTTAGGGTTTTATGCTCGATGAGATAAAGTAGTTTGCTCGGAGTGTGATGGTTTTGTTAGGCGACGTGAAGAACTTGAAGATTTGGACGTTATTTGGAGTTATTCGGAATCATTTCGACACTGATATTTTAATAGTTGATATAGTCAGTGATCGACGCAGTTTTGACGTTTAAAAATTGGACAGTATTTGGAATTATTTGGACGCTGATATTTTAGTACACGATGTGCACAGTGATTGACGCAGTTTGACATTTAAAAATTGGACAATATTTGGAATTATTATTTTTTATTATTATTGTTACATGGAGTTATTTGGACACTGATATTTTGGTACTCGATGTATACTGTGATTGACGCAGTTTGACGTTTAAAAATTGGACAATATTTGGATTATTTGGACGCTGATATTTTAGTACTCGATGTATTCTGTGATTGACGCAGTTTGACGTTTAAAAATTGGACAGTATTTGGAATTATCTGGACACTGATATTTTAGTACACGATGTGCACAGTGATTGACGCAGTTTGACGTTTAAAAATTGGACATTATTTGGAATTATTTGGACGCTGATATTTTAGTACTCGATGTATACTGTGATTGACGCAGTTTGACGTTTAAAAATTGGACATTATTTGGAATTATTTGGCCGCTGATATTTTAGTACTCGATGTATACTGTGATTGACGCAGTTTGACGTTTAAAAATTGGACAATATTTGGATTATTTGGACGCTGATATTTTAGTACTCGATGTATACTGTGATTGACGCAGTTTGACGTTTAAAAATTGGACAATATTTGGAATTATTATTTTTTATTATTATTGTTACATGGAGTTATTTGGACACTGATATTTTAGTACTCGATATATACAGTGGTTGAAGCTGTTTGACATTATTTGGACACTAATATTTTAGTACTCGATATGTAGGGGGAGTTCCCCTAGCACCGGACACTTAAGGTTTTTCTTAAATAAATCTCTCTACCTGTGCACACGCGACTGAGACGCGTAGAAAGCTTATTTTTATTCCTTCTGTCTCCCCTAGGAGATACGCAGAATAACGGCTGGGCAGCGTTTCAGTTATTGCAGATGTAAATAATGTCCGATATTAGGTGCCGTCCGGCGTTAAGGGAACTCCCCCTACAGTAGTCGACGCAGTTTGACATTGGAAAAATTGGATATCATTTGGAATTATTATTGTTACATGGAATTATTTGGACACTGATATTTTAGTACTCGATATGTGCGGTGATCGACGTATAGTAGTTTGGCATAGGCAAAATTAGACTTTAATCTAATGGCGGGAAAAAGGCGTGGATTTAAAAAGTTTGAAAAATTTAGGAGCGGGGTTGGCAGGAACGGTCAAGTTTAGGACATCAAGCCAGATATCTTTTGCGACTGCAATGCATTACGTAATATCGTCACATCGACAGAGTCGACGAGAATTTTCAATTTCCGATTATACTCCATAGATACACGGCTCGATTTTATTCAAATGTTACGTAAACACTCGTATAAAGCGTATCGACAATGATACGGACAAGTGTTTAATATATGCAAACCGGTCGGTTAGCAGAATATTCCACGCGAACGTTCCAATTGGTAGAAGTTAATTAATTGGTCGTTCGTATTAATGCATTCGTGGCAAATCTGTAGAAAATCATCGAGAGATAAAATAAAAAACAATTGTTCGTTTTGTGGACATTAAATTTTTGCGTGATTGCACAGTATGGAGAATCGATTGAACGCGACGGTTCACAGTACTCTTCGTCGCGAGAGACTTAGTCGGTGATAACGAAGGGGCAACGTGCCCTTCGAACGCGATAACAACGGCCAGAAAACGTCTACACCGAGGGACAAAGAAACTGGCCGGGCAGGAGCCATTTTGTTAACTAGAGGCCATCATAGCTGCCTGACGTCACTTCCATATCCAACTATGGCGTCACGTGACGCTCCACCCTGTTTTCAATCACCTTGGCCCCGAACCCACCCAGCTGTCAGACACGCTCCACCCCGTTTTTTCCACTCTTTCTGCCTATCGCCGTCGCCATCTGCCGGCAATAATACGAACTCCTTAGACCTTTAAACGGTTAGTTAGTTTATGCCTCTTCCGGTCGGTGTCACCACCGGACAATGCCGCCGATGACCTCTCCCGGTGCCCTTGAAAAAAAAGTCAGGGATGTCCAAAGGGAAATGTAACGATACTCCCTAGACCGACGTTGCCGCGAAAGTTATCGAGCCGATTTTACCGCACGCCGTTTCCCCACCGTCCTAAAGGAAACGGCTTTCCGTTGCTAGTTCCCGCTACGTGAATAAACACCGTGAAAGGCGCTGGCAAAAACGTCTCCGATGGAAAGAGAGACAATGGTACTCGTTTCCTACAATACCGAGGCGTGACGTTTTCCATTTCAAACGGTGCATTACACGGCTCGTGTAACACCGATCAGAGGCAGAAGGAAACCCTACGAAGTACGGTTGCAAAAAAGAAAAACGGAAAACGGACTTAACTCGAGGGGGAGAAAGAAAGGGTTTTAGGTAGGGTAAAATGGAAACGAGGCTTAAGCCTGCGATCTCGATTACCATGGAGAGCAGTGTGTACGAATAAATAGCGGTGAAAAAAAGAAGGAAAGGAGAGAAACACAAAAGGAGAAGAAGAGGAAAAAATAATGCGCCAGAGTTACGTGACACGGAAGGACAAGGCTACTGTTTTTTTCGCGCCGCGGATGGAAGGGGGAAGAATACGTAAGGGCGAGTCCGTAAAGCGGGAATTGAGTTAAAATCCTGCGAGAGGTAGAATTTATACGCGATCCAGGCCGTCCTGCGGGGGAGGAGAAGTACGGGCAGAGTACGGAGCGCATGGAATCGCTATCGGCGGCCATTCATCAATCCGGGGAATCAATACGCTGGAATTAATGAAAGCGCCGCGCGAACAGCGAGCTAGCGGCCGGAATGTTAATCGCGATCGTCCCGCGTCCGACCCATTCCCGTGTACAGCAAACTCCCAAGGGCCCCACCTCTG